TTTTTCTGTTCGTTTAAGTACTTTAAAGCAAAACCCTGATATCCTGTCATTTGAACCATAAATACTCTGTATTAGTTTAATTTCACTTCTAACATAGATACGATGATTCAACTGGTAGAATTTCCAAGATGTTTGGTTCTAATAGTTGAAGCTATTTGCTCCATTTCTTGTTCTCCTTTTTTGGAAGATTAAATATGTTAGCGGTTGGAATGGTGATGAACTAGAAACTCAAATGTAAAATTCGTTTACTATTTAATATTTGACTCATTTAAAATGGAATGGATTAAGTAAAAATTAATTGAATGTATCAATGTGTACGTAAGGTATTAGGTGTTATTATGCGGGATGCAAAGACATGTAAGCTGGTCTCCCCCCTCAAGGACCTGATACCTTACTAAAGGAGACAAAGTACTACAGTGTAAAGAGATAGAAGACACTTAAGAAGCTATATTAATTTTCAATGTATTTCTAAAAGAAATGTCACAAAGCAGTAAGACCATTATATAAAAACCTGCATATATGTTTCATTATAGTTCAAAAAGATCATATTGAAATTTAGGGGAAATGAGGTTTTTCTATGTGTGTTCTTATGTCTTTGAAACCAGGATCTAGCAGTTTTTACTTGTTTGTTTTTAATCCTGACAGTCTTTGTCTTTTTTAAAATTTTGGTTAAGAACCATAATTTAATTCACTCATCACACTGAGGCATTTGGAACAGTATGTACAGAGCTGTTTAAACAGTTTTGTGTGATTTTTAAAAATCGACTTTCTGTGTTAGAAGTTTTAGGTTCACAGCAAAGTTGGGTGCAAGGTACAGAGATTTCCCGTATATTCCCTGCCCACATATGTGTAGCCTCCCGCTCTGTCAAAATCACTCACCAGAGTGGTACACTTGTACAATCAACAAACCTGCACTGACACATCGCTATCACCCAAAGTCCGTAGTTTATCATCAGGGTTCCCTCTTGGCCTTGTGCATTTTATGGGTTTTGACAAACGTGTAATGACGTATCCATCAGGGCGATATCATACAGAATAATTTCTCTGCCCTAAACATCCCCTGTCTCCACCTCCTCATCCCTCTCTCCTCCAAACCCCTGCCAGCCACAATCTTGCTACTGTTTCCATTGTTTTGCTTTTTTGGAATGTGAGTCTTTGTCTTTTTTTTTTTT